CTCTGATACTTACATTGATTTGGAAGCTGAAATGCGTAAGCACTCGAAATCGACGTATGTATATATATATATATATATATATATATATATATATATGTAATTTAGTGTTAACAACTGAGATGAAAACGTAAGTTGACCACCGTAAAGAGTGAAAATATTGACGTTTCGAGCGTCAGCCCATCGTCAGAGCAATTGTAGACGAAGGGCTAACGCACAAAACGTCAGCCTTTAAACTCTTTACAGTGGTCAATTTACGTTTTTAACTCAGTTGTTAACACTAAATTACTTGTTATACTCTCCCAACGACGCAGCACCACAGTTTCTTTAGAAACTAGCCCCCTTTATGTATACATATACATGCACGGAATACTGCTTCTTATTCAGGGCATGGCTAAGGTTGCTGGGACAACTTGTAAACAATTTTCCTTAGACTCTTGTCTATTAGTCTTAGTATGATAACTTGTGTTAACGTATCGCACAAAGAAAATGTATTCCTGGTACGATTGTTGAACGGTGATCCATGCTGGATTGTGGTCATATCCATGCGTCCAAGTGGATAACTATTGACAGCTGTTATCTGAACCTTTAACAACCTAACATTAGTATGCATATTGTTACGGTATGAACTTACCGACAGGAAAACACTACAATTCCACAAATTCAACTACTTTATTAAACAGCGAGTAATGTTCTTAACAAGGAGCGACTCTTCAAAGTAATACAATACTTGTCGTTAATAAACTTAATCAAGCGCAAAACGGTTTATATCTTAGCTCACCACTGACAAAATCTCACTGCTGTCTCCAAAGTCCTTTGAAACAAGCAATCCTCTGCATTAACTCTCTCTCGGTATAGCTTTCAAAACAGTCGTCGCTACAACGATAACATCTACTTTCTACTACATAAGCGAATCTTTATTCATATATTCACAAAGTGTTCTGGAACATTCCAAAAGCTTACTTAAGAACTATTTTAGTATTACATAATAAGTACGTGACTTGATAAAATGTTCTGGAAAGTTCTTCGTTATGCAAGTCAGCATGACTCAACGGTCTGGAAATTTCTATAAGCAACAACAATTACCCATAACAATATTCTCCTTACAGTTTTTTATACATTTCCTAAGGTGTTGACATGGAGAATTTGTTTACCAATCAAAAGCTTCTTTTGTTGGTGATCACTTCCTCTATTCTTGTGACCTCAGTGTGTGAGTCAGGGGTGATATTGTAAGGAGAAATTTGATGTTAGTCATTCTTAGGGTTTAAAGGGTTAATCAATAGTATCAGTCTAGAAAGTTTTTCGATTGAGTTTAGTAAAATCAAAACCAAAGTAATTACAGCATCCAATCAGAAGATACCTTAAAGAGTCAATGAGAGCTGTCCAAAGCGCGGGAAAACGCGGGCGGCCAAGTCCTGGTTGTTCTTAGCTTTGCTTCTGATTGGTTGAGGGAGTGACGTCAGTTTTTAGGAGGAATAACAGAGCGAAGGAAAGCCACACCAATGCAGTCACGGATTATGAAAAAACTGGCCATAATGTTTTAAGAATTCAGTAAATCTGATGGAACGACCATTTCTGAGTTTGATTTATGGTAGTGAGGTTATATTTGCGATGGCGGGGATAATTGTGTTTAGAGGAAAAATTTTGAAATCAGTTTTATCAATGTAGCTATGTATGTTGTGGTTTTTTTTTTTTTTATTATTTCTTTTCATTTTTTTAGTTCGTCAACCCATTCTCTTCCACAGGCGGTTCACGAATGTACGTCCATTTTTTCAGCAGGGAGAGGTCTGGGCACGAGGCAGTTTCTAGTTCGTTGAAATTCGTTCGCACGTCGGTTCATGTTCGGGCGGTTATCTATTTATCGTTCACTCTTCATTGAAAGTCTAGTCGCTCGTTATTCAGATATGTTCGCTCCCTCACTCGTTATCTCCTCCGCTTGTTCACTGAAGAGGCTTCTCAGCATATCAAGCTGTTGTATCTCGTTATGTAGAGACTGCAGCTCACATTTTCGTCTTGCTCTTTGTTCCAATTTCTTTGCTTTCTCAGAATCACCTTTCCTGAAGGCAAGCAATGCCTGACAATAGTTGTAGTAAATTTTGCTTCTCTCGGACAATCTCTCAATTTGTCGAGATGAAATACGGCTCAAAACAGTCCCGGCGACATCAACGTCAGATTTTGACACTTCTTTGGCAATACCATGCTGATAATAACCTAAATGAACCAGAGCTTTGCGCATTGTCACTTGTACCATGGTAACACTCTTATCAACTGAGACTTTCCCGCAAAAATCGAGTGAACTGTTCAAATGAAACAGAACGAGTTTGCGATCTTCTGTGCTGTTCTTGCTTCTAGATAAGATGATATTTGCTTTCACGTTGTGTATCTCTACAAAATCCTCAAAGCATTCCCCATCTCTTAACATCTTATGTGCTTCGTCAGCCTCTCTCATTGCTTCATCGTCGTTTCCCATGTCATGTAAAACGAATGCCATACATATTCTTATCCTTGCATGTGCTAAAAACCTAAAAATTAAAACAAAATTAATCATTCAAGGAAATAACTACGTTCTAGTACGCTGTACGAAATTCTAAAATCTCATTGGTCAATACGAGTGCATTTAATAGCCTATGTTGTGCGATCATCATGCGTTCATTATTCCCCTTGTTAGTTTTTATAAACGATATAATGGTAAATGAAGAGATCAAGTTATAATTAGTTTGATACTTAAAGAATGATTTCGGAATAAACTTGAATGACACGTCTTTACACTCATATTGAGACCACGTAATTCAATACTTATAATACTGGATTTTGGTCAACAGCCGCAATTTCTTAACAGAACAACGGGAGTAGTGTCAAGAAGCCTAAAGAAGATTCTTGTTTTCCTTTTCAAACACTTATTATTTATCTTAAACTTCTGAAAACCTTACGACCTCGAACCTTATTTATAGTAGCCGATTACATCATACTTATTTCTGAAACACTATTTTTAGCAGCAAGAACATTCTAGACACTTATTATGACATATCCTGAAAATAACTCAATAGAATGTTCCGGAATGTTCCGTTATGGTTAATCAATGTTCTATTGATTTCTGGAGACTTCGTTACAGTAGCAAAATTGCTTTACAATGGCCTTTTTGTCTTGCATTTTCCTGCAACTTGATAGGTTGCTCTAAAAAATTTCTTGAAATCTGATTGGTTGTTTTGTTTTAGTGTTCCATTCTCATTGGAAACTTATCAGGTTGAAGTTTTTATCTTGATCTGACACCAAATTCTCGTAACTTATTTACAAAGAAGTGTTTAGCAGCTAAAGGGGAGAATTAACGATCAGATCTTGGGAGATAAAGGGCTAAGTATTACCTTGGGCTGCTCTAGTGTCACTCTAGCCGTTCAGTTAGTGAAAAGGAGCGAAATTAACAAACGGCGCGTCGGTACTGAGCAGTGGTTTCGCTGTATAACCCTTCCCAAGCCCCCCTCGTTCATGTCACTCCGCCATTTAATTTCGTTCCTCGTTTTGCTAACTGATATATAAGCATAGGTGTGAATTTCTTAAATTTCATGCTTAAACGCACATACCCGTATTCTCTGTTGAAACCGCAAGAGGACTTCAGGCCATCTAGCATCTTCAGCGAGTCTTCCTTTCTTGAGCGCTGGTTGAGCGCGCAAGCTGCTTGGATTTGAGCAAATATTTCTACATCCCTATTGCCGCTAAATCCTTGCAAAAACTTCTCGAGATCTTCCCAGCAAAAATTGAAAGATAATGAATTAGATTTATCTATCAGTCTGATGTACCTTCCCCTGGTGAAAATTTTTAGTTTCCATTTTGATGGCACTTGATCAATAGAAGTCGTAGCCAATTGTTTGGTGTCGTTCCTTCTGTGGCGTTCTGAACTTAAATTCCTGGTCTCATCCCGTGGAGTTTTCCTCTTGTGCCCAGGTCTCTCTTCAATTTTTTCTTCTAATGTTTTCACAACCCTTTCAAGCGACCGCGAGTGATCGCGTTCGTTTTTCAACCATTTTTTGTAGTTTAGAAGTTCGTTCGTGTTGAATTCCCTTTCAGTCAGCATTTGCTGAAGATTTTCAACAATCGGATCAGATTTTGAAAGCAAGCCTTGAACAGCTGTTATTAAAGTCATCACGCTTGTCTTGAATGTGGCGTGAGATATCGATGCTCTTGCAGCGTGCGCCGACATTTCATTTCTAACCCTTCGAATTTGATGTATAGCGTTTGAAATTCTCATCCCGTAGACTGTGCCTCGAGTGGGACCAAGAGCGTGCGAGTAACTTAGAGCAAAAACTAGTGTGGTTATGTCCCAAGTTTCGATGTTCCCGTTGGACAAATGATTCTTGACATCTCGGTAATCATTACAATACACCGGATCAAAAAGTCGAGAGTGATGCGGTGGCATCTCTTCCGCTAACAGTTGTGATCCGCTCGAAGTGTCATTTTGCCATGGAGAGGAAGCATAAATCTTATTCCATTCTTGTATGAACACCTTTCTCAGTGCTGCCGTCGAATAATCATGAACGCATTTTGTGAGCCGAAAAAAGTTTAGATCTTCGCTGCCATAAATCACAGACATCTCATTGAAATTGCCTCTGTCAGCGGATTTCTTCAAAGGAAATGAATTTTAAATCGAAAACGAAAGTGCAAGGTTGAGTGAGTTTTCCGTCCTTGAAAAGGTCTTCCAAAAAGTTATTACACACGTATACGTAATAGAAAATTTTACTTTGGGATGAGCGGACTTCAAATAACATGGTCAAGACCCAAGAATAAAAACAAAATTAAAAGAAAAAAACACTATCCTTTTCAACTTTTTAGCGTTTTACCTTGCCCGTTCTATAAAAGTACATTGGTGAACAGATTGTTCTAAAACTTTCCGAAACCTCACGATTATAGACGAAGATAACCCGAAAACCTTGCAATAAACTACAAGGCGCCCTAGGTATGATTCAGTGGAACCTGGGGACGAGAATGTATTCAATTTCCCTGATCGACGATTCAGAAGGTCTTCGCTGTTTTTCCCACACTTGCAATGAAATTAAAGTTCGCCTGCACTGACATTAGTAACTTGGGAACGATACCTGACGTTTGATGATGGACAACTAGAAAAACGCAGCTGTATTATATTTCCCTTTTGAACACATCTTCGCATGTTTCTTAAAACGGCGCGCACACAAGACACTCAGCTAGCGGGTTTCTATAGAAAAGGTAAGCGCTGTAGATTTCGTTTTGTATATATTTTGTCTTGCTATTGTCAACAAGTGATCTTTGAAATGTCCCGCTGCAAGCGTGTATCTATTATCTCGAAAAGAATGAAGAAGGGTATCTCTATCACTGTGTAACGAAAATGCGATTTTGCTCACGCCACAGGAAAACAGTCTTCGAATCTCTCAGACATCATCGGAGGGAATCTCAACAATTGCGTCTGTAATGTAGAGTTCATGGACTCTTGAAATTTTTCAGCAAGTGAAGAGAGGATATTTTGAAATGGGTAAGGACTTATTCTAGAATTCTAGTGGATAAAGCTACTCTTCTTATCAATTTTTACAAGCCAGTGTATTTCGAGTCACTGCTTGGAACTTTCAGTAGAATTCTCTTGCTATGAAATGTCATTTTGTCTTCCGCTTCGCTGGGGAGGTATAATGCAAGTATTGCTTTTTTTTTTCTTTAAAGGAGTCTCTCTAGTTGTTTCTTAATTACAAAAATGGACCGTAGCCTTGGTCCTCTGTTGTCGCAATATGCAATTTTTAAGTTTCTTTAAAGCGTTTGAGCACGAGTTGTAAATTTCCGTTTCGCTCAGCGGTGCCTCGTCCAACACTAATTGTGTATTTTCATGTTCGTTTGTGGTCTCGCGTACGTTCAGATTTCACAAAAGCCTGAGTTTTATGTTTGTACAATGTGTGACACTCGTGTATAGTTCTTGAACATTTACGCATTAAATTTAGATCTCGTAGTTCTGTATCCTCGTTACGGCTGGCAGACAAACGAAGGACTTGGTAATATATTTCCGATTGAATTCAAACGGATGACAGAATTCCTTTTACATCGACTACGTTCGATTTTCTAAGGAACTTTACAGGATAATCGTCGAGCCTCGTTTTCTCTTTACTGTATCCCTGAAAAAGAATCTAGCTCCACTGATTTTAAAAACTTAGTAGTGAGCGAAAGTTGTTGGAGACAAGTGTGCAATATTTTTTGTCAGCTGTATACATATCAGAATGTGACCGTGAATGAAATCCTTTAGTGCAAGTTTGTGTCTAATGTTCTGGTTATTTTACGCTCCGCACTTAAGTACTGTAAGGTTATTTTCGTGCTTTCGGCGATAAGTTTTTTAGAGATCGATCGCACTCATTTTCAGCGTTTGGTGCGTGGTGGTATGTTAATATTTTATTGTCGAGGTTCTCGTGTGAAGAACGTTCGATCGCACAAAAAACATGCCTCTGGCACCAAATACATTCTGGCCTTTAAACCTAAGTGCACTGTTTTTTATTAATACACCTAAACCTTTGGATGAGTTGTTTGTCCAAACATCCAAAGGGGATAACCTCTCACTACATTGATTTGTCCCTCCGATTACAGAATTTTTATCATCCGGAGGAGAATTTTGCTTCCATATTTGGGAAAATCGAATGTCATAGGTGAAAATTTAAATTAAAGTTGTCGCTCGCGAACAAATTATAATAATGCGTCATTAGCATGTAAGCGTATTTGTGTACGAGGGATTCTGTTTATTGATGTTATTTCCTTTTCAAAAAGACCAAATTATCCCACAAGGACGCATTTTTTTCCGGATTTAGACTCGCCGTTTCTTTAGGTCGCCAACTGTGCTAATGAGATTTCGAGTGAGAAAATCTTGGAGTTTTACCAATCTAACGTGCTGTGATCGCATGACCCAAAGGAAAAATATTCTTGACTTATAGGCAGTCTTCCTTGTAGCCGTTGGTCATGCTTTGAATCTTCCACAAAATTTTTTGTTTTTCTCTAAGAAAAATTATTTACTTTGATACCTGATTCCCCAAAGCAGCATTCATATCAGCGCGCATTAATTTGTATCATGAAATTAAAAATAGCTCGTAATCCCACGGCTTAAACTCTATTGTAGAGTAGAACAAAGAGAAGACTAATTATTCTGTCTGGTTCTCAAAATTTCACTTTTCAATAAATATTACTTTACATTCATATTGCCTAAGGATCAAAACACTCTTCCTTGCCAATAAAATCTACGAGGACTTGACACTTCTTCCCTATGTCAAAATTAACTTGACAAATTGGGTTAAGGTGAAACTTAGCAAACCATTCTTAATAAAACCTCTTTAATTAACTTCACATTTTTGATATCTTCATCTTTGAAGATCAACAACATACACTGTAAACAACTCGGCTCACTGCCCCAAAACATCCGTTTTCACTAATTTAATCATTTTTAAAGTAGTAAACTGTCTGCTACTCCTTGACATATAACTTTTACTCCATCAAATTAGTTAATCACTGCTAAGATAGCTGATCTGTCAAGCTTCATTTAAATGATAATTTACTTTTCCTCAGTGGACTTAATATTACACTGATTGTGAGAAATGTTAGCTTGTCAACATCAATAACTCAACATACCCTTATTTTAAAGGATTTTAAAAATTTGTGTCTTCCTAAGAGGTGTCAAGATGATACACCTAAGATTCTCTACGTGAATTGTTCATTGTAGCCTGCCGGATATTGATGCATGTGTACAGTGCATGTTCCTTGGTCTTCTATTTCACCTTTTGATGCGGTTTCGTTTCCTGCACAATAATATGGAAATTTTCCAAGGACCAAACTCAAATATAAAGTGCTGTTCCAGAGGGAAAATTTCTGGTTTCACCTATGAAAATCTCTGGCTTACACTCAAAATGGCAGCTTTAGAAACTCTTTCCTGTGACCAAGTTACATTATCCAGTGAACTCAAGGCTGTTTCCAGTGGGTAAATCTCTGGTTTCACTTATTAAAATCTCTGGCTAGTACTCAAAACATCAACTTTAGAAACTCTCCACTACAGTGAGTAAGTTACATTATCAAGTGAAAACAGTCGATAAAACCAAATTTTTAAGCTTATGGTTTGCTTTGTTCCGCATTTGAAATCGAAAATCTTGTCAGAGTCGCAATTTGTTGACTGTGCATGGAGATTAGTTTCCAGGAGAAATTTAATACTCAGAACGCAAAGGAATTGAAGGAAAACAGCGGACAGTTTTTGTTATTCTGGGAGATCTTTGTGTGGCTTGGAAAGCCTTTTACAGTATATTTACTTAACAATTTACATGCTTGTAATTGTAAATTCCTCACTCAGTTGCAAAAACCATCCAAATGGGTTTTTTAATTAGATTTATTAAGGACAACTTTTTCATCTGTCATTGGTATTTATGCAAGAAATAAAACATGTTTTTACCATTTCGATTTGTGCAGTGTCCCTCACTTGTTTATCATAAAAAAAAGTTTTGTTTAAAAAGTAGCCAAAGTTAAAGTTGGGTTCTTTATGAGAGTAAATTGGAGTAAATATTCCTTCTGAAAATTAACTTATAGTTTACTTCAACCCTGTTAGCTGAAAATATGTTTAGAATATCAATTTGTTTTCAATATCAAGCCTTGAGGTCAGACAATTTTGTTTTGGCTTAGAGAGTTAGATAGACTTTTTTCAGATTTTTTTGGTAGCCAGAGGCTGAATTGGGTATATTTAATTAATGAAGTGATAAAAGCTACTTGCAATACTATTAGAAAACTATTAATACATGAAAAGGCTGTAGTTCTATAGATATAGTAGCAAATTATAACTTAATTTAAAAAGATATGCGAGATCCCATTAAATTCCTATTAGCTTTGTTTCCGTTTAAGTTGGTTCCAGAAATTAAAGTCTCCATGTTTGTAGTTAAATAATTTAGCCTGTTGTGGAGTGATCAAAAGAAGTTTCTCTATGTTAAAATTAATTATTATTGTGTAGAAACTTACATTGATCATTCTATACAGGATTGCCCATGATGTAAATTTGTCAAATAAAGTTTACTTGAAGTCTTTGGTGCCCATTGACAGAACACTTAATAATTGTGATTAAGATGGCTGTTAAGTCCAAATGAAATCTGAAAATCTCATTTTACCATTCTATAAACTTTAAGGTACATGTAATTTGTAAGAAGAATTCTGTAATTAATGAAAATTCAGACTGATATAGTTTTCTTTTAATCATTCCCATTATACAAGGTTCATGAGTAGCCAATGTAGTTGATAAGAGGCAAGATCTGATTGTTAATTCTCCTCTCTAGCTGCTACACATTTACTTGCAAAGTAGTTACAAGAATTTGGTGTTAGATCAAGACAAGAATTTCTATCTGATTAGTTTGAATGTTCTCATTACCTGTTTGCTGGATAATATATGAATATTATAGGGAGAAGTTGCATGATAATCACTTCTAGGAGTCTGAGATTTAGCTGTTTTTACCAATATGTACACTTTACTCTCTGCACTGTTTTATTTATAAATTTGTTTCCTGTTGTTCTTACAAAGAGAATTTTTTAAATGAGCAGTGGTGATCATTTCCTTTATTCCCATCACTTGTAGGCTGAAGAATGTATGGATGATATAGGGAGAATTAACATGTTATCACTTCTGGGAGTCTAAAGGTTAAGTGCTAAAGAGTTAACTTAATGGTGAAAAAATAAAATGATATTGATTCTTGAAATTATTCATGCAGATGATGATCTGGAAAGTGGATACCTCAGCCCTGGGAGTGAATCCTCCAGATCTCAGACCCACAGAGCAAAAAATGTGAACAACAATATTCACATGATGGAACAGAAAGTTCGCATCAAATTTGAATTTAAAGGTGAAAAGAGGTAAGGATTCATAGAAAATGAGTTTCAGTAAACCTTTTCATTTTCACTGTATCAAGATTGGTTTAGGTAAAGTTTGTACTCAACCTAAGTGGTCCACCTAGTTGGTGCTTATTCCAGTCTCCCTAGCATGAAGGGGTGCAGAATATTTAAGTCTTCCCCTGTT